TTTCTCATGATTGCATTATTAACGCGGCATTAACGTGTCAGAGCTTTCTCAGCGTAAGAAACTGCAAGCAAGGAAAGCTTCTCGAGCGGCCTGTACGATTGATAGAAAATGAATTTCCATTTGCTGCGCGAGTGCTCGAAACGCGCTGGTAAATTGCAAGTTGATTAATTTATTCCACACCGGTCCGGAGCTTTTGTTTCGAGTCGATCGATTTTATGAACAGTATTCGATATTGTATTCGACGACAAATGTATATTCACGTCGCGTACATCCAATTATCGTACTTAGTATTGTTGCATTATTTTGCCCCCAAAAAAAAAACTCGAATTTTCTCTGTGAAACGTTAGCCGATTTATTCTTCCGCAAAATTTCAATCGGGTTATAAAATGCTTGAACACAAAGTAGAAATGTCACGTGCGTTCAGATAGAAAGATTTAAGGATTCTTCTTCGATAGTTGCTAATAATCGAGTCGAGATTGATAATTCGTCTGCTAAAATATCATTTGAAATTAAGATATTTTTTCCTCTCTATATAATAGATTTTTTTAATTGTTTAAAGAAATATATATATAACTGAAATAAATTCACATTTCAGGAAGAGAGACGTTCACGTTTTAATATTAACAGATATAAAAGTTGAACGATGGAAACGATCGAATCGATTTCCTATCGATATCACGGAACAAACGGTTCCTTTAATTGCACTTCACAAGTTTGATATTTGTGCTGTGTTGCGATTAAACGCAGGAACCGTGGCTATTTGGACTCGGAGAATCCATCGAACGAGTATTATTCTGCATGAGAACACACGAACAGACGAAGAAGAGTCGAACGATCGTACGGAAACGTACGAGCAGAATTACACGCAATTAAAAAGCTCGTTACGATGAACGAAACGTTCTATGATAATTAGCCTTTCTTAATAAGAAAGATATCTTGTTGCCTTTTAAAAAACGCGAATCTTCCGATCCAAATACGCTGACTCTCTTGTATCTACACGTGATTATATTCGTTTCGCAAAACAAATTATCCTCCCTAATTGCTCGAATTTCACTGGAATGGAAGTTTATTGCGCGCTTAAGTATCCGCGGTGCCTCG